ACTATTATTTATTTTGTCTCTTGTTAAGGCCACACGTTATTGACGAAATTGTTGTTGTTGTTAGCGTCACCAGATAATTAGTTTGTATTTTTAAGGACAATTTCAGATCAATGTCATTTATTTGTATATGTTTTTTTGAAGTAATCTGTTTACCTTTCCTATACTTTGCACTCCGATTGTCTTTATTTATTTGTTTGTTGTAACGTTCTGACCACCGCCTTCCGGACATCTGCGAAAAAGAGCTTCATAGCTCATCGGATTCCTCCAGTAGAAATGCAATATTCAGATTCTGATTAAACAGTAAATAAAAAATTACGTCATGCCATTTGACCCCCCTCCCCGTCCGCCACCCCACGCAGCGGGTGGGAACAGCCCACCACGTGACGTCCTGTGACGTCACGTTACATTTTCGGATCAATCCGAAATGTCATTGTTGGCCAGATTTTAGCAAAAAAAAAATTATTCGGAATAAACATCAAAACATTTGGTACTAACATCGCGAAACCACACATACCTACATAGCCTAGGTCGCCTGCTCCTTTTGTGGTAATGTATTTAGTGGAGGGAGAGGGGTCATATTAATTCATGGAAATTCCATATTTCTATGATGGGATCAGTTAACCCGTTGGAACGACCACTGAGGTTTTAAAAAGACAATGAATTGTAGTGGGTGCAGTTAGAACGAGGCTGCGCTGTATTGGCGCTTAGCGTGGGTGCGCACCACCACCTATTATCGCTGCAGCCCTTTGCCGATCCACTGCTCGATGAAGACCTTTCCACACCGTGTGGGTCATTACGACGGCTGACAATGCTTCACCGCGCTGGTTTAGTGAGGCTGTTCGTGAAAGGAAGGGGAGTTTATGACCCGGTTCAGCTCTACCACTCGCCACTGATGTTAGCCGTGCACGGCACACTATCCTCGCTCGGTTTGCCGATGTTCATAACGCAGTGCGCTAACCACAGCACCACCGTTCCGGCTCTTTTTGACAGTGTTTAAATGAGTTAGGATACAATAAATAAATCACCTTAACAGCTCGTAGTAAATGTAATTCATTTAACAATCATACTCATCCGTGTAATGTAGTGTATAATAAAACAAACGCCACGATTTGCCCTATCACGTTACAACTTCACTACAAAGACGGACCAGGCGACTAAAAAGTGAAAAAATACCCCAAAACCACTAAAAATCGAAAAAATACCCGAAAACCACAAAAAAACCCACTAAAAACTGAAAAAATACCAAAAAACCACTTCATTTGATCTCCCGCCGCGGCAGCTGAAACGATGGCGCGGAGTTTCTCGAACGTCCGCAACGCCCCTGTCCAGCCAGCTGTGTGCGCAGTCGCATGGCTCAATGACGGGCGGTTCGCATGCGGCGGGTTAAAGTGTGCCGAGTGAGGACGAGTAGGCCAAAAAACCCTTTGGAGAACTACCCCCGGTGGAGGTCCTTCTGCGTGCGGGTGCGTGAGACAGCAATTGCAAGGCTGCGCCTTTACCCCGCTGTCTGTTACACTTGCAATGTTCTTATATCGCACTCCGCACCCAGGGTTTATTAGAATAGTGAAACTCTATATTTTTTATTTCACCAGGTTAGGCTCACTGAGCTTTGTGGCTTGTTTTTTCAGAAGCGACCTGGCTACAGATAATACCTCAACGGAGTCGCTTATCACGTGCACATTTAAAGCCAAATACCCTAAATGCACGTTGATTATCACTGTGTAACAAAAAAACTAATTTTGATCCTGAGTAGTGTTATTTCCGAATTGCTGATGCCTCAAAAGTACAGAAAATGGCTATTATTCCCCACAAACTTTGTTTTTGTGACCAGGACAGTGATATTTTGAAATTTACCTATTTTCAATGAGAAAACGTGGTATGCATTTGTGCATTTCGTTCACATAAAGTCCTGGTCACAAGAAAAGTTAGTGGGAAATAATAGCCATTTTCTATACTTTTTAGGCATAAGCAATTAAAAAAATAACACTTAGTACCCAGGAACAAAAAATGTGTTACATAGTGTTATAAATGTGGAGGGAAAAACAGGAGGACCCGGAGAAAAATCCATGCGACCACGGAGAGAAAGAGAGACATGCAGACTCCAATTATACAGCAGGTGTCAGTGTTTGGGTCGAACCCATGACCTCCTGCAAATCGAGCGAGGCAGTTAACATCGCTCCACCAAGGCGTCCTATCCACGGGCTCTTCACCACACGAGGTCTGACAATTATTTAATAAATAAAAACAACTGGCCAATCGATCCAGCTTGAGGATGAACAAATGCAAGCGTTCAAATTTTATCGAACACCCAACGGACGGCAGCAAAGCAGCAATTGCGGAGTCTTCATAGAGAAGAGTGAATGACACGTTCCTTGAATGCGAGCAAGGTTATTCGAACTTGGGGAAACGACGACGGGAGGAGGTCATTCTGAAGTAGATCAGTGCGAACAAAGACGCAGCACGAGAAGTGGGGTGACCTGCAATGTGGTGAGTGAATAGGTGAGTGGGCGAGTGAGTGTTGGTGTGACCTGCAGTGTGGTGAGTGAATAGGTGAGTGGGCGAGTGAGTGTTGTTGTGACCTGCAGTGTGGTGAGTGAATAGGTGAGTGGGTGAGCGAGTGTTGTTGTGACCTGCAGTGTGGTGAGTGAATAGGTGAGTGGGCGAGTGAGTGTTGTTGTGACCTGCAGTGTGGTGAGTGAATAGGTGAGTGGGTGAGCGAGTGTTGTTGTGACCTGCAGTGTGGTGAGTGAATAGGTGAGTGGGTGAGTGAGTGTTGTTGTGACCTGCAGTGTGGTGAGTGAATAGGTGAGTGGGCGAGTGAGTGTTGTTGTGACCTGCAGTGTGGTGAGCGAATAGGTGAGTGGGCGAGTGAGTGTTGTTGTGACCTGCGGAGTGGTGAGTGAATAGGTGAGTGGGCGAGTGAGTGTTGTTGTGACCTGCAGTGTGGTGAGTGAATATGTGAGTGGGCGAGTGAGTGTTGTTGTGACCTGCAGTGTGGTGAGTGAATAGGTGGGTGGGCGAGTGAGTGTTGGTGTGACCTGCGGAGTGGTGAGCGAATAGGTGAGTGGGCGAGTGAGTGTTGGTGTGACCTGCAGTGTGGTGAGTGAATAGGTGAGTGGGCGAGTGAGTGTTGTTGTGACCTGCAGTGTGGTGAGTGAATAGGTGAGTGGGCGAGTGAGTGTTGCTGTGACCTGCAGTGTGGTGAGTGAATAGGTGAGTGGGCGAGTGAGTGTTGTTGTGACCTGCAATGTGGTGAGTGAATAGGTGAGTGGGCGAGTGAGTGTTGTTGTGACCTGCAGTGTGGTGAGTGAATAGGTGAGTGGGCGAGTGAGTGTTGTTGTGACCTGCAATGTGGTGAGTGAATAGGTGAGTGGGCGAGTGAGTGTTGGTGTGACCTGCAATGTGGTGAGTGAATAGGTGAGTGGGCGAGTGAGTGTTGGTGTGACCTGCAGTGTGGTGAGTGAATAGGTGAGTGGGCGAGTGAGTGTTGTTGTGACCTGCGGGGTGGTGAGTGAAGAGGTGAGTGGGCGAGTGAGTGTTGTTGTGACCTGCAGTGTGGTGAGTGAATAGGTGAGTGGGCGAGTGAGTGTTGTTGTGACCTGCAGTGTGGTGGTGGTGATTGAACAGTGTGGACGAGACGAAACAGTCCGCGTCTGGGTAGATTGGGGACCTCAACACGGCTGGAATGGAATAAATTAGTGAAGTTACGGGGAATTTGAGCTAGTGTCAGAATGTTGTTAAAGGAGGGGGGGGGGCAAAGCCGTAGTTGGGGAGGGGAGAGGCGGGAGGGGTCTGACCCCCTCCTGTCCCCAACCCCTGGTGCTACGTGGGGGGGGGGGGGTGTTTCTCGAGTGACCGTGCAATATGGATAATGAATGTTCCCCTGGCCTGCCCATTATTCACCGAACCATAGCTGGGGATATTTTGCTCGGGCGTGTGACCCGGTGACGTCACGAGCGTGGGCCACTCTGCAGGAATGTTGAAACACAACACAAGCGGAGTCGCGGGCTGACATTTCCACATTCGCAGCCGACCGCACATTAAATGCACCCGCGAGTGAACAAAGTTAATAAATAATGACTCCGGGAGCGAGGTCTCCCCCCCAACCCCAAGCAACCAACTACTGGCAACTCAGCCCAGCAATTCCGGGCAGAGCTGCGCATGCGACGCGTGGTATAACAGGCGCCCCCCCCCTCCCGATTTGTCAACACCGCACCCGAAGACACGTGGGGCCGCGTGTGTGCGCATGGGCCGGCCCACCACGGCGCGCAGGGGAGGGGGGGGGGGCAATGCCAGATTAAAAAAAATAATAATACAAATGTGGGGGTCGGGTCACCACCAACCCCCGCCCCTACATACGCCCAAGCGCATGTGCTGCTGTAATTGTGGCCAGAGAAGATATCCGCGGAGTAATAACGGGAGATGATTCGCTGGATGAAATGTTTGTGGCATTTATAGTAATAATAATGATGGGTCGCTATGCCAGACCCCAGACTCCCCCCGCCACCACCACCACGTTCCCCTCCACGTCTTTAGACCCCTTGCAGAGTTTGGTGAACATCTCTTGAAATTTGCACGAGTTATTGTGGCCTCATACCCCACAAGGACAAAGATCGCCCGTGTAGCCTGAACAGATTGTTGGGGCAAATGCTGTTATAGAGCAGCACCTATGAAGGCCGGCACGGCACACGAGAGGGTGGGTGGTCAGCACCACGCCTGACCGTCTTTGTCTCCCCAGTGCTGATATTTTACACATCACACCAGGTACTCATTAAGACTGTGTCGACCTAGGGGACGGCCCTCATGGCCTGAGCAGAGACTGCTGGGGCGAGTGCTGTCAGCGAGCGCCCGTGAAGGCCAGAAGGCCGCTCGAGGTGGTGGTGGTGGAGAGCAACAGGGACTCGTCTAAGGCCAGAGAACACAAACACACACAAGCACACGCGTTTACATGCGCAAATGTACTTAAAAAAACACAATTTTAATGCATATTTAAGGGAGGGGGGGGAGTTTTACATTCATTAAGTACCTGAAATAGATGGTTACAGATTGCACTTTGGTTTAATAAAAAAAGAATACTGCACTTGAGTTACACTCCGAGTAGTGTGCGTCTTGTGTCGCGTCACGATTAGGAACTGGACACGATCGGCCTCGCTCACACTGCCAGCGCCGCCTTCACGCGCAGCGAGAAACGTTGCACTGCCATCGTCACGTAACCCTCCCTCGCAAGTGGCACGGAGCGGCGGCAGACGAACCCGGACTCTCTCGGCTCGCAATACGAGCATGCGTCCCAGTCAACGTTATCGACTGCTTATATTTTGTACGTAAATGGGTTTCCTCCATGGACGCCTTGCAGCCGCAGAGGTTTTTACATTCGCGACAATGTAAAAAAACACACACACAATACACCTGTAACAATGCGATTCGGATTTAAATAAGTTCACCAAATGCAACCTTATCATCATATCAAGCTGCTGTAAAACACAAAACATTGAACAGATTCGCGAATCGATTGACGTAATTAACGCTATAATCACAATTGGCGCTGGATTATTCCACCGGTACGTTGCGTCAATTCCCGATAAAATAAAACTTACAAATAGGCGGACACCTTCATTGGACGGATCAACAATAAAATTATTTCTTTAAAACAAGTCAACATAATTAATTTTAAAAGGGCTCCCCACGAATCAGCTCTGTGCGGCAAAATCTCTAAAACAGTCTCGTAAAACTAACGCGGCTCTTCCGGGCGGACGCTCCGTCCCAAACAATCCCCTCCGTCAGATTTACATCGTAAACAACGTGGAAATATAACTCGGGAGTGGAACGAACGTCACACACACCGCCGTGCTGTGACGTCACGCGGCGACGTCGTCACGCGGTGCCACGCGGTCGTCATCTCGGGTGAGAACATCTTCGCGGCAAAGTGAAGACAACAAATTAATAAAAACATCTTTTGCGAGGAGATTTCACTCAACTAGAAATGCTAAAAGCAAGGCAAAATGCTCAATCGCTGTCATATTTCGCGTCTCTTAACTACGTTCATGGTAAACAATTCATTTGAATAAAAGGCAAACTGCAAGTTAGGATTACTGTACAAACTATAACATTGGCACACTCACAGCAAAATAAACGAAGTCATTAATTGTTAAATTACGCAGTGCAAATGTACAAATTCCAGGCACACGTTGTGTTACGAAGGCATTCCGGTGCACACTGCCGTAGCGACACCAAGGGGCTGATGGGTAAAAAGGCAACTGCTTGCGCACGCCACTGCTGTTGGAAGGCCCCCCACTAGAGGGCCTATGTCTGAGAACGGGTGGGAGTACCCTCACTTTACCCCCACCGCGTGTAACCTAAGAAAATCGCACCATCGTTTCGGCTGCCGCGACCGGAGATTGAACCGACAATTTTCTGGACAGCAGGCCCAGTGCGGCAGCTTCTTCCAAGTGCAACAAGCATTGAAATGTCTGCGCAGGTTTGTGTTTATACGACTAAATAAAACCGCGTGGCACAATCTGGCACTAAATAATTACACTCCTGTCTTAACCTCGGGGGACGCGGAATTAGGTTCGGCTAAATTAGAGATTACCTTGGGTGCAATTACAATGACATTTAATACGGGACCGTATTTACCCCTGCCCCCCCCCCCCCTGACGAGGGATTAATATACCCAGAAATTGCAATCTGTAAGAATTACGACGTTTGTTTAATTGCAATAAGCCTGGTAAGCTTCAGCGTGAACTAACGACTGCTCCCAAACCAACGCTGCGTTATCCAGCCACCGGGGAGACGGCGAGAGCAACGCCCACGGATCGGTTAACGCACAGATCGGAGACGCGTCGCATCGGCCGTTGACGAGGATCGAGCGGGCCCTGTGCAGGACGCATCTCTAGAGAGGTACGATGTTCAACGGACGAGGCTGAGAATGCGCCCCATAGATCGGCCGCCATGGAGATGGAGCGGCAAGGCCGGCTTGTGCACGCACGCACGGGAGCCGGACGGACTGTGGCAGCGCTGAACGACGAAGAATGGCAAGGGCGTCGTGGAGGACTTCATTCAGCGGTGGATAGACCATGGCCAACGACGACGACGATGATGATCGAGGCGTCTTCGCGAGGCCGCACGCGCCACCACCACTCCTCATCCGCTCGGGAGCCACATTGGTCCATAGTCACCGCAACTCCGCTTGCAAGTCATGCTGGATTGCATGCTGAACGCACAGAGAAGCGCTTTCCGGTGTCCGCCCCCGCGTGTAGAGAGAGCGAGCGAGCGAGAGCGACAGAGAGAGGAGAGATTACGCCGGCGGGTTCCCAAATTCCGGCGTGGATCTCAACGGGTTTTCCGAGGCGACAACTTTCACAAACGCGCACCACGAGGATGGATCGACCCGACATCCGCCGTGTCTCGCTCAGCGTCGCACCGAGGAGGTCCCAACTCCTCCGCGCGGTCTCGACGCCGGCAAAGCCGCTTGCGACGGCGCGCATCCCGTGCCTTGAGACGCGACGTACAGGAGCAGCGGTATAAAACAGTAAATGATGACGATGATTGAGAGGTTCTTTACGCGTCACGCAGCGCCAGGCTATGAGCAGGGACGTTAAAAGTTCTCTGCTCGCGCTAATCCGTGACATTCATCGAGGCTGCGGGTTTTGGCGCGTAGCGAGCCGATCGATACGATCAGTCGACTTAAATCCATCGTTACACTAACGGCGCACGTGACCGATTGAGAGTACCGAGTATTTCCGATGGACTACATCTTGTTTTCCGCTATGGATGTACACGATTCCTACAGCCAAGGAGCGAGTATAAAACATAAATAATAAAATATATAGTTGCCAATTGATCAAATCATCAAATCGGTTGAGTCGTTAAGGACCTTTTTGCAGGGGTAGACGCGGTCCCAACATGTGGCATTCAGCCCTCCTCGTTAAAATACCTACACTACAGCGATAAAAAAGTTAAACTTAAAAAAAAAACAATACATTCCATGAAAGCCTAACCCAGTCTCCATACTCCCTGAATGTGCATGTTTGGCCAGGGGAGCAATTCATGATTGGGCTCCATGTGTGAGAGGAAAGCAGAGAGCCCAGGGCATCAGACTCACACACCTTGCAGGCCTAAGCCTACACAGCAACCACCTGGCAAGCTCTGACGCTCACCCATCAGATCACGACGACAAGTCCAGGCTCAAAATCGTGCTTGGGGCTTCTGAGATCTGAAGAGATCGGCGGGCACGTTCCGGGCGACTTGCTGGCCTGAGTCGCACCGAGGGTCGCGCTGCGGCACGCCACGGGGTCGGTGGGGGTGGAGCGATTCATCTTCCTCTCTCCGGGGTGGGGGGGGGGGGGGGAGGGCATTAGCTGCCCTGGTAGTGAGTGCGGCAGCAGCTGAGGAGGTACGGCAGGAAGAACGCCGCTTGGCCCTCGTCGGGCAGCAGCTCCAGCAAGGCCAGCGGATCGAGACGGCGCGACGCTCCCTCCATGGCCCCTGTCGAGCGAGCGAGAGAGAAGGGGGAGGGGGGAGAGAGAATGGTGGGTTAATAAATCTGTGTTCGTCGCACGATCACCTCGCACCTCCGATTCGCGCGGTTTGGCTATGTGCGGAGCGAAAGAAGTTCAACTTACATATGTACACAGTCAGCGGCCGTTCGTGACGAAGAGCTGGCGTGATAATTGTAAAAAAAAATGCGATCGAATATCCCGACCTTTTGAGTGTGCCTGGAGCAGATTGGGAGTGATAAATCCCGAAGAAACGCCCACCACCCTCCCCCTCCCCCAAATGTGGCCCGGTTTTCAACAGCGCAAGGTCCCTGATCGCAACGCAACTTCGGACGACCGCACGGTTCCCTTCGGCGATCACCTTCAGGGGAGTGAGCGCGGCCCCACCGGCAACGGGCGGACGGACGCCACGCAGACGAACGGGCCAGAGCCGACGCTCTCAAAAACACCTTCGACGTTCGTCGGAAAAGCGCGAACGCAACGACAACGTCGAGGGGCCCCTTCATACCTTTGAGGGCCTCGACCAGGTCGCCGAGGTGATGGTGATCCTCCGGGATCCGTTTCACGTAGGCGCAGAGCTCAACCAGGAGCTCCGACCAGAAGGAGACCTGCGAGCTGTGCGGGAAGTGGTGGCTGGCGAACGGCACGAGTGCGGAGGGGCAGCTCTCCATGAGCAGCCGGCGCACGAGGCCGTAGCTGCCGGCGTGGCACAGCGCCAGCGCCCGCACGATCGGCTCGGCCGCTCCCAACGCCGGCGCGGCGCTCAGGAGGTCGTCGGTGGCGCCGGAGGCCAGGCCACCGCCGCACAGCAGCCCCTGTGGACGCAGGAAGCGCCGCGGTGAACAGTCGTCATTGTCGTTGACAGCCATGATCAGTTCACTGCTGGATGAAGGCCTCACCACCTCCTCCAAGCTGCCACCACCATCACCGCCACCGCCACTCGCGAGCCTGTAATACAATAATTCACCATGCACCTGCGTACGAGCGGATTTCTATGCTCGGCTGGGCTTGGCTTGGCTCCGTCCCAACTATAATGGAAGTGTCTAAGGACAAGGGCCTCACTGAGGCTCGGCACTCGTTTTCAGGAGGCTCAACACTACGCTGGGGTAGTCGGGGCAATTTCCATTCAATGTGTTCCTGACTGGTCGTGTACAAAACCGCAACAATAATGGAAGTGAATACACTCTTGTTCAGTCTGTGTTTACAAATTAAAAGGGCCTTTTTGAGGGGTGAGATCACCTAAATATGAATGTGTTGTTAAACCCGCCACCACCCGACATCGCCAATTAGTAAGGTTTATCACGTAAACATAATGTGCCTATTCGTTACTAGTTACAGCACACTGGTTGTGTGTTGGAGCGTTAACCCACAACATGTACAAATCGAGTAGAACATTTTCGCTGGCGATTGCAACCAGCTTCATCAGGCCATCGCCAGAAATCCGTTTTTACGCCCTTGCAATTTCAATGAGACGTTTGGTGTCAATGGACCCTAGTCCGGCTGTAAATAACAACAATAAACCTTCCCCAGGAAAGTCTCACGGCGGCAGGAATTGTCTACCGGAGGGACCCGCCACAATGGGGTGATTGGCGAAGTCCATGAGCGCGTGTTCGGCATCTGCGTGGGAGGAAACTGGAATGCCCAGAGAAAATCCACCAGGCAGACCAGCAGCTAAGGGCTCAAAGATTTGCACAGATGGATTGAGGAATGCTTCGCCGCATTGCCTATTCCTGTCCACGTCTCAGCCCAAGCCCACAGACTGTTATCCCCAGGCAGTCTGCCATCCAATTATTACTCCTGTGTAACATTTACTCCGTCGGGTTTAATCAACAAAGTGATTCAGTGGAAAATTAATGCCAACCATGACGCATATGAATATAGAAACACACACACACACACACGTATAAATTGTAATTAACTACCGTACAGTGATGCAAGTGTAGCATGTAAAGCATGATACACATGCCGTGATGACAATGTAAACGTTCAAACTCGCTACGGCATGCCGATCTCATCCTGGCGCCGTGGGCAGGGCAAGTGCGGTGGTGGCGGTGATGTCATCGCGCAGACGTGAACTGAAGAAGCTCCTGGCGCGTGGAGCGGAGCGGAGCGAAACGTCGGACATCGTGCCGAACAACGCACGATACGACCCCGACAGCGCGTTGGGAGGAACCGGGCTTTGATGGGATGCACCAGTGCCATGATTCCTCACCCCCAGCATGCCCCGTCACTTCCACTGCTGCCTACGTCAGCTTCAAGCCGTGATCTTTGACACGCGGCCCCCGCACCCTCCTCACTACCGCTAAGGAGGCACGCACTTGTAATTAGCTACGGCAGGGGACATCGGGCTCCTCCCTCTCTCTCTCCGTCACTACCCACACCACCCCAACATGTCAATAGGCTACCTGCCCACATAGACATGGCACCAACTCATAAAGCCGGGCACAGCCAATTAGGAAGCAAAGTTTCAAAGCTGGCTGTAACCTTGTACTCGCCAAAGAGGTGGCTTTTCTTCTAAGCCTTGGAATGTGCTCTAATAACTTTGTCGAGTGACAGCTTCTAGCGTGTCCCATCAGCCTCCTATTTGCCGGCCAGCAAAGGTGGGGGAGGGAGGGGGGGGGGCAACTGGACCCGGGGGCGCGCCCCCATCGGCTCTGTCTGACGCGAGGCACGATGCTCGACGGAGCCGGACAGTGCTCCGGCGACGAAGCTCCCGCGCTGCGGATGAACGAACGACGGAGCGGAGAGCGACGACCGCAGCGACGGCGGGTTTATTGGCCGAGGCCGTTTTGAGGAGGAGGTCTTCGCGCCCCGGTTCGTTTTATGCAGCGGTGCGATTATCGACCCGCTCGCTCGGCAAACGCCGCTGATTAATTAGCGGCCAGAAATACATTTTAAGCAACAACAAAAAACCAAATACGTTCGTCAATAAAACTGTTACACTGTGACCCTAAATTGTTTTTTTTTTCAAATAAAATAGGTGACATTTTGGCCAATGGCTCTTATCTATTGCACATAATAAATTAACAAGGTCACAATCGACCTTGTATATCTCTTTTTGTTATTCTGCCAGATAAATCGCTTAAGAAAGTAAATGTGAAAGTCTCAACTTTTCAGGGCATTCTAAACACACACTTTGTGGCATCCAGACCTAGAATTTGAAACTGCCCTAACCCTTTGAGTGTCAGGCACCAGTGACATGACAGATTAATGCCTTTGCGCTACAAAAGGTAACCTCGGCTCTGCAACAATGCTGCAGCGTCCTGGTTGGGATTCGTTGCAAGGGCTACGATCTTAATGTCTGCAACGAAGCAATAATTTACTCACGTTTCTTGCAAATGCGACTGATACTTGCAACAATATGGATACAATTACGAACCTTAAAATATATATTTCTTGCGAAAACTGCTTTTACAGTTGATAACAATGAAAAAAGCTATATGTGACAGCAGAGATTTGTTTAAGAATTACATCGCCTTCCGCAACGCATAAAACAATAACATCATTTAAAATTGCATTCCGATAATGTATCAAAACTCATTTGAAGCGCGCCCAAATTAGTTTGATTTTTTGCGACGATAAACATAATAATGATGGGATTTATATTTAAAAATGCCAACATTATAATGAAGCATCCCACCGAGCGGAGAAATTAACGGCAGAGATGAAGATTCCGCTCTAAGTGGAATCGGACGACAATGCCACAAAGAGACAAAAAAGTCTCGTCTCTAATCGGCGGCCAGCGTCGTCAGTTTAAGTCTGTGGTCCATGCGCCACGGGCGCATCGTTATTTCTCAGCGTCCCATGTGGTCCCGACTGCGGTAGGTAAGCTCCGTGCGCGCCATCCCGTCCCGATAACGCGTTGCTTTCATCGCGCGCGCCTTCAAACGACGGACGGACTGGGGGGGGGGGGGGGGCATAACAGGCCCAAGAAGGCTCGGGCCGGGGACACGTGCTCTGCACACGCGGCGTGCACACGCACGAAACATGCAGACGCACACGTGTGGGCACGCAGACGCACACGTGTGCGCACACACACACATTATTAACTGGTTTCCCTTAACGACACGGGAATACTTTAATCGGTTCGTCAAAGTCAATCCGGCCCAGTGGCTCAGCGGGAGAGAGCGAGCGGCTCGCAATCGGAAGGTCGCGGAGTTCAAATCCAGGTTGGGAGTCGACTTTGCCCATCATCCCTCCCGGGAGGGGGGGGGGGGTCTCCAAAATAGGTACCACTATGGAGAAGTCAACAGTGGTTGTCCCCCTAAGGAGAGACCCACCCAGGAGAGGAGCACCAGTCCTTCAATGCAGGGAATCACTCGCACGCGGACAAAGAGCGGCACTCGTTGCCGCCGGGAGCTCGAAGCCAGGGTGTGAACATTCCACGTTCCCATGGTAGGGATCGGCATGTAGACATCCACGACAGTGCCGTAGCTATTGAGTGAGTGTCCATGCAGTGCAATTGGGGCGCCGCGGTGACGAGATGTTAACTACCTCGCCTGGTACGCAGGAGGTCGTGGGTTTGATCTCGACCCTGACAACTGTATATTAGGAGTTTGAATGTTCTCTCTCTCTCTCCCGGTGGTCACAATGATCTTTCTCCGGGTCCTCCATTCCCCCCCCCCCCCCACACATTTAGAATCAACATGCGTTCACAGTATTTGGCTGCAATAAATTTCCACGTGATGATAAGCCACTTCCGTTGGGCTATCATTTGTGGCGAGGTTCGCTTCTGAAAAGAGCTACGTAGCTTCGACAGGGTGGACGGGAAAGCTCAGACGTGTGGGAGCATAGAAGTACAGTACAACGGTGGATGTTGCCGTTGCTCGTCCACGAAACTACGCAGCCTAGAACACCTCTTAGGCATGGCGGTCGACCATCCAAGCACATACACGTGGGCTTGATTTGGTCATTTTTACGTTACGAGATCGTGACAGATGGAGATAGCTTGGGGTGGCGTTCACCTAGCAGTGGATAGATCATGGCTAACGATGATGAAGAACCACTTTTTACACTAACAGATCTTTCACGCTAGGCTGACCGCATGCCACAAAGGGGATGTGTATGCGGAGCAAAGCAACCGCGTGTGTACGTTAGCATTGGCAGTGTAAACTGCACACAATCTTACGGAGAATTTACCATATAAAGTGTTTCATTATCACCGTACAATATATATGCGACGGTATGCGGTGTAGATTTGAATGAATAATATATGAGGGTAAAATCTGCCCACTTGCACTCGCACTTGCGTTAAACTTATTCCTGATAATCCATTTCTCCTACCTGCAGGAAACCACCCAACGCCTCAGTACAGCGATCATTTTAACATGAATAAGATATGAACCACCACCACCACTACCACAACACCTCAAATCATTTTGTTAGCAGGGTGGTACGTTACACGTGAGCATCCGCCCCAATGTCCGATTAACCATTTCACGGGTACCCAGTGAAACGTCCCAACGTTTGGCCGACGTTAGAACGTGGCCGGAAGTCTTGGGCCAACGTTCAATGTTTACTGGGCAGGTCTGGTGGGCGTTTGATTTGCCTAAACCAAAAAAAAATCTGGAATTCATTTTAGAAAATTATATTTCAGATGATGACCATGATTTTATACCCTTGTTGGTATTTACCATAAACTATGAACATTATAAATGCTTTCCCCATGGTAAAACATCCGAATAAAAATTCTGATTTATGGGGAATTGCGGCAAGAAAACAACCGCTTGCGACTATTGAACAAATCTACCAGCTTTGATAATCACTCTCAAATTATTACACGATTCGGTGAAGAGACATAGCAACTTTACCCACA